CTAAACCCTGCCGTAAACCCCTGAACCCTAAAACCCTAAACCCTAAACCCTAACCCCTAACCCCTAACCCCTAACCCCTAAACCCCTAAACCCCTAAACCCCTAAACCCCTAAACCCTAAACCCCGTAGAGACGGAGCCTGAATCGTTGACAAGATCATTCCTCATTATGGCTCATCGACCTCCTTACTACAGCTATAGCACCTTATAGCAATCGACTCGAACTCCCCCATTCTGAGCATCAAGGCCCCCATGCTAAGCCTTAACCTTGGGGGCTCCAAATAACCCTTATTTTTAGACTTTAGGGTTTTGGGTTTAGGGTTTAAACTTTAGACCCCAATGTAGGTGCTACTGGTAGACGTGGAGCCCTAGGGCAAGTCAGAAACTAAGCCCCTTTCCGCGCTGCCTGGCCAGATTTCTGCTCCGCCTCTTTGCTGGGCAAGCGGGCTCCGGTGGTGATGCCCTTCCATGCAAGTTCCTGAGGCTTCAGGGTTCAGGGTTTAGGCTTTGTCTAGGGAGTTTGTGTAGAAGAGTTTTGCTAGTCTCAACCCTTAAAGACTAAACCCTAAAACCCTACAAACCCTAAACCCTAAACCCTATAAAACCCTAAACCCTAGAAACATGTATCACAGAAAGGTTTGTGTCAATAGTCCTCGGTGCTCCGCAGGCGCAGGACCTGGCTCCAGGGGCATGCGATCTCATTTCATCTTCTGACATCTGCAACCGACTGTTTAGGGTTTAGGGTTTGAGGTTTAGGGTTTAGCCCGAACCCTGAACCACTGAACCCTGAAGGTAGCTTGGGTTTACTTTTACGAACCCCAAAAAGGGTGTAGAGTCCATGGTTTGAGAACTTGCGCCATGAATGAAGTGACGTCCACCACCGATAATGAGGACGACAACTGCGTGCTTCGGCGAAGACTATGAGTGGATCTTCAGAAGTCAATTAGAGTTTTTAGGGTATACCATAACTACCAAAACCTACTGTTTTTGTAGGGTCCCTATAAATTTCTATACTAGAGTCTATAATAAGAACCTACAAAAAAGCAGGTGGGGGTCTAAGGCGTCTGAGGGATTCAGGGTTTAGGGTTTATAAGGTTTAGATTTGGCATCCTTCGTGACTCCCGGTAAGCACCCGAGTCGTAGCTGTTGGGACCTAGACGGCCCAAGCATCTATCCCAGATCCTGCTTCCTGACCCTTAATCAAAGCGTAACGTTAGGGTTCAGGGTTTAGGGTTAATTCCCTGCGCATGTGCCATAGGGGAAACGAACCCCATCAACTGAGATGAATCCGGCGAAGGACTCCACGCAAAAACTGTCGTCTTGCCGAAAAGGCGGCTTAGGAATTACAAGGTGGTAGACACGTCCACAAATGAACCCTCCCGGATGCTCAATCAAAGCGCGCTTTAGAGCGCGCCTTCGGAATCCAAGTTGCCCTAGGTGCAACTGGAGCTTAGTTGTTTGTGTTTTCGCAAACTAGCTATGTGCAGCGCGAAGCTTTCTTGAAGCATTTCTTCTTGAAGTCCAGACTCCAAATGCCTAGAGCCCTATCGTCTGAAAGTCATAAACCCAGTAACCCTAAACCAGTCCAGCCTTGAATTTCATCACCTTGAAACTCGGAGCTATCCTATACTATATGGTACGATACGATGCTAGAGTAAATACTATATATACTACACCATGCTATACTATAGTATACCACAATACCACATACTTTTTGCTACAGACACTAAACGAAGATACCATAATACATTGGCAGTTATCACGGAAAGGCGGAGCTCTCGCCGGAACTTCTTCAAGGAATTCCGCTACACGCTTCTGGGCTCTTCTTAAGGGATGTACTTCAAGTTACCGTAAGAGGGATCTATAATCAAGAATATGGCTTTCTTTCTTATGGTAGCTAAAACTAAATCCCTATAAACCCTAAGCCCTATAAACCCTAAACCCTAAAAAGGGATCTATAGTAATATGGTTCTCTTCATTATGGTAACTTAAACTAAATCCTTAAACCCTAAACCCTAAACCCTAAACCCTAAATCCCTTAACAAGAGCCCAGGCTTGCTTCCATCGTGGACCCAGCTTGTGGAATCGCTCAGGCGGAAGTCGTTCCGGTACCGCGGCAGAGATGCTGTAGGTGTCTTCATCACTTTGTTAGAATTAGGGCGTTCCGTTTCGTGGACTACTAGAAGAGATCTGGTGTAGAGCAGTGTTTTTTGGTGGCGGTTGATGCTTGTGACCGCATCGCCGAGGTGTTTCACAGACGACCCGCTGCTACTGGGCTCTTGTTAAGGGATTTGATTTAAGTTGCCATAATACCAGAAATTATGGGTCATAAATGATGGAGTTCTATAGGTGGTTATTAATGATAATTACTAGTCAGAAGATAGTGATAGTACTATATCATTAACTTAGACCTAGGAGATAAAACCTCTATCAACCTTTTTTTTAGATCCAATTCTGTGACATTTCTTAGGTGTATGGTCGAGAATATGGTTTCTTTTTTGTGGTAACTTACATGAAACCCAGGCTATTCCTACTTCCTGAGTCATGCGTGGGCAGCCTCGTCCTGGTCGAAATACCTCGCTCCTTAGGGGGTACTTGGAAACAGTTTATAAAGGGTTTAGGGTTTATAGGTTTTAGGGTTTAGGGTTTATAGGGTTTAGGGTTTAGGGTTTTTGGTTGCTATAATCCCTGAGAGAGCTAAAATTAGTTTTTTTTGGCAAGGATGCCAAGTTCAGCATAGGCTCTCTTAGTTCATTTCAATGGTGTGCCCGCAGCAATGGCGGCTTTCCTGACGGGGCTGATCCTGGGAATGTTGACCTCTCTCGAAGTCATACATTTCGCCAGCTGGATGCCTATACTCGCACACTTAGTGCCAGCATCAGTACTGTTCCTTTGGCAGGATCTCCGGAGAGTAGTTTGCAAAGAGCCCATGATCTTCCTGGACTGCGCGTGCATACCTCAAGGCGATGACGCCGTGAAGGCAAAATGTGTCCGGGGACTCTCCTCCTTCCTCGGCCGATCGGAGAACTTGGTGGTCTTGTGGTCGCCCCATTTCGTTCGTCGCCTCTGGTGCACGTATGAAGTGGCCTTCTTCTTGAAACAGAACCAGGCAGATCAGATCCTTTTCCTCCCACTGCAAGTGCCAACCTTGTGGTTCCTCATCTATCTCGTAGTATGGATTACTCGGACGACTTTGTACATCGCAGAGATCCTGGAACTCTACGGCGAGTCTATCGTCGGCTACCTGGGGATTGTTGGTGGAGTGTTTCTAGCCCAGCAGCTCACAATTTGGCCAGCTGTCTACTATGTCCTGACAAACATGCTGCGGGACCGTGCCGCTAGTATAAAATTGATAGAACTAACCAGGACTATATGAGGGTCGTCCTAGAATCCTGGGAGTTTATCGTGTATAATATCGGGGTCGGCTACTTCGTAGATCGTAGTAGTGTCATTCCAGCACGGCTCCTACATAATGACAGTTTAATATACCCCAGAACTTTATTCTAAGTCTAAGTATAAAGTTGCCTCGGATTCTTTAGAATCGAAGATTGGTTAGTGGAATATGAAGCCGTGCGGACCGGCCCCCTAGACCCTATACACCCTTAAACCACTAGAAACCCTGTAGGCCTACAGTACCTTCATTAAAGAACCCTTGCCGGAATCACTATACTGCCCTCAACAGAAGCCTATGAGTTCCAAAACTCCCCCGGAGGACATAGCAGAGCTGCCGAAGCAGCTGCACAACTTCCGAGTTCAGGACGCTGGTTGCTCCTGCTGCACGAAAGGCCACGTTGATCCAGCAGCATAGCTGCAGGTGCCGGGGTCTTTAGAGTTTAGGGGTTACTGGAATACACTATACCATGATAGACTATGATATACGATACAATGCCATGCGTTATAATATACTAGAATATACAATGGTATACTACAACGTACTTTTAGGGTTTGGGGGTTTAGGGTTTGGGACAGAGATCTAGAGGGGAGGTCGGGTTCTGTGATGTGTACTGCCTCGAAGCAGTTGAAGGCAGGTAGTGAACCTCCGAGGCTGCTGCCAGACTCTAAACTCTAAGGGAAAGCCAACTAAGAGGATAG